GTCGAACACAACATATTGTTGTGCGGACGTCGGCATGGGCATACTACATAATAGATACGTCTCTGCAAGTACAACTGCGATGATGTCCGGGAGAACCTTGCAGACCGGCCCATTACGCGACAGCAGTCAGACGATCGCGGGGAAATAAAACCCGATGTCAGTGAGCTCATCACACTAGTGGCAACCCTTGCACCCGCCAGCCTGCTGAGTTGAACCCAGGTTGAACCACCTGCGTACTTCTATTATTTAGTAGCCTGTATCGGACAGTAGTAGCTGCGGCTTCAACACGAGCATAGCACTGATCGTTCAATCGCTCCAGAGTCCCCGTTCCTTGATCTGGGTGAGCACCAGTGTGTGGTCCGGATTGAGAGGACACGGTGCAAACGTCATAATGCACCACCAACCAACAAGCTCCTCTGTCCCTGCCAAACTCAAGACGCCGACGAACTGCTTCCGAAAATTGGGCCATTGGTAGATGTGGTCTTCTGGACAGTTGTGCGTACCACTGACAGGGACTTCGCGCAACTCGGGGTTGAGATGGCTGCGATACACCCGAAAGTTCGCCCACTGGTCCCTCGTAGGCTTCGACTGCGCTACCAGTCCGACCCTCTCACTGCCAGGTGACTGTACCATGACTGCACTGCATCGCCCGGTCTGAAGCACAGCGGTATGCCCATGCCATGTCTGGATGGTGATAGTGGTGGGGGAGGTGCCGTTCCAAGGAAGCCCCGCATTCTGGATCGTGCAAGACAGACTACCTCGGATAAATCGAGTGACGAGTTCTTCTGGAAGTCGGATCGGAGAAACATAGGTGCTATTCATAGGAATAGTCAGAGCAGAAGTCGCAAGTTCATTGGAAGGGGGGTGGGTAGCGAGGTAGACTTCCCGCCATGTAGGAGAAATGCGTAGTATGTCGGCTTTGCTCTCAACCATGCGGTGGACCCCCGTCGTGCCGCCACTGACGTCGTACAACGGGAGATGTGGCATATGTGGAGGACCAGGACGCGGAGTTAGAGCGAGAAACACCCTTCTGAGCTCTTCGCCCTTATGGTAGCACCACGATAGATCAGCGTATAACCGTCCATCCTCCTCGGATACAAAGATGGGGATCCGAGAGAGAATGCCGTAGGGAGTGAGAGTGAAGCTCATGATCGGCTTGGGCGATGCCTTTCGCCAAGGTCTTGTCTAGTAACAGCATCGCCCATCAGCCCGCAGGTTTCAGGATACAAAGGAACAAATAGGCACACGCACCCAAGATCTCGAAGACCGCTCAGGCACCATGAGATTGTAGTCATAGAACGTGGCTTGAAAGTCTGATGGGGATGCTGCGAGTATGCCAGTGGTACGTTCGCTCGTCTGGTCAATCAAGCCGAACTTTCCGCGAGTCAGAGGCCCGCAATTTCCCCAAGCAAAGAGAGTGGTGTCATGATGTGTCCTCATGATCTCTTCCTGTAGTCGTTGGAAAGCCCGCCGACCCTCTCCGTACAGTGTGGGCATGTTCACGTCGAAGATTCCCAGTAGAGCGTATGCTTCGTCCTCCACTCGGGTAGTCTTGCGCCGGCAAGCCCACGACATTCGACGCATAATGCTTATTTCTGAAAGTTTCTGTGAGAGTTGGAGGACAGACTTGGGAACTCTCGTGATCTCCTCCAGCTCCTCCGCAAGGTCTGCCCTGCTACCGATAACGTCCCATGTAAGCGAGAGGAAAAGGACATGCCGCGGGGCAACGAGTTCCTGGAGCGTCCACCCCCTGGTGTGCCATATGCTTTCACTGAACGGCGAATCAGATGGCACGTAAGTCGATGGCCGGTCTCCTTCAGCTCCTACGGTCGTGACCAATGCGTTGAATTTCGGGACCAATGCGTTGTGTGTCGGGACATCCCGGAGATAAGCATAGCAAACAGCGGAGCGCGAGTAATACTGGAACATGGAGTTGATTGCCTCTGAGAGCTCGGCGCTGCTCGTCTTGTCGATGCAGCACGTGTCTATCCAGAGCCACTGGTAGCCGTGAGACTCTGCAAGCTGGCATGGTCTCAGTATCTTCTCGGAGAAGAGACTTTGAGGACGTTCCCCTGTCTCGGCGCAGCGAGCGTGGATCCTCTGGACATCCTGGAAGCTCTGTTCGTCCTTGTCCCAGACGTGCGACAGGATAGCGTAGACCTCTTCAACCGCTGCTGGCAGCGTGAACTCCTTGATCTCCATGGTGGTCGTATGGATCAGACGCATGAGGGGCCTGGGGTAAACGGTAAGTCGACACTTATGTGGCAGATCTACTGTAGCCCGTGACGAGAAGTGTTAGTACTGTTGAACTCGAAGCTGCTGATTGAACCAGAACCTGATACTGGGTAGTATACTCACCGAGATGCCACGGAAAGAAGCCTTGTAGAGGTGGCCGCCGAGGTAGGATACTAGTACTGCTGCACAATCCTGGCGACTCTCGCCTTGGGATAGTAGTGAGTGGGTGGTGTGTGCAAGAGGATTATCGAGGACTTACTGATGGCGGGGCTGTACTATAGGAAGAGACGTGGACAGCTGAATGGTCGCATCCCGAAAATAGATGTCTAACTTCACGCTGCCGCGGTTCGGCCAGTTGATTACTAATCAAACTTCAACAAGTTGGCACCGTGACAAGCGGCACGAACTCACTGACATATACTACACATGCTGACTCGGTCAGGAACGATGCACCCATGTCCTCAGACTCGCATTGCAGCGCTAGATATCAGCACTGAGCAGGTTGCGTATCTCTACTAGTAACTCACCTGCCATCATAAACCATATGAGCGTCTAACTTGAACCTGACTACTTATCCCACTCCCCCTAATAAGCAGATGACGGTGGTCGTCATCGACACATGTTTTCGCGGGTAGGTATCCTGACTTAGCATCAATGACGCTCACACTGGTGGGCTGTCTAGCTCCGAGGGCGGCGGCGCATATACGTACACCGACACCCGTCCATCCGTATACCCAACCGCGACCTGCCCCTCCTCCTCGTTCACCGACACCCGATTCCACAGCTCATGCGTATCCTGCACATGCATAACCCCCACCGCCGAGTCCGCCTCCCTCACCCCCGCCGAGTTCCCGTCCAGCGCCATCGCGTTCAACAGCGCCGGATCGACCGGCAACATCCCCGGGCTCACCGCGTCGTCCATCGTCAGCGCCTGCATCTGGTCGCGCGCGCGGCGGGACGCCATGTCATACCCGACGTGTGCTGCACGCGCGATGACCTTGCACGCGATGCGCTGCCCGTGGTCGCCCGATTGCGACGGCGTCGTCGGGTCCGTGGAGGCGTCCAGCCAGAGCGCGGTCCCGTACCGCCCGAGAACCGTATCCGAGGGCGTGAAGAGTCGAAGCGGGGACGGCAGAGCGTGCGCTATCGATGGCCTATCGGTGGGAGAGGCGAGGTAGGGGAACGTCGAGGGGTCCGAGGGGGAGAACGCCGCGGGGGAGTAGGCTGGGTTCGGCGGGAGGACGTAGTGGTGGAGGATGTTGACCGGCCAGGGGAACCAGGTGTCGAAGCGCGCGAGGATATCAATGGGCGGTAGAGTGCGATTGCGGGCGGAGGGAAGTGAAAAAGGTGCGCGGCGGGAGTTCACAGTGATAGTATCGATGCGCCAACGCCACTTGTGCTTCGCGATGGGGTCGAGACGCGGGGCGGCCTCGGGAGGTCCATCCGAGTGACTCATTGTTGGCAGTTGGTACAGGAAGATCCACTGCTTGCAGAACGTGAGGATGAACCCGTCGAATATCACGTAGTCCAAACATTGATGCTCCTATATAACCGACGTTGAACAATCAGTAGCATGGATAGGACTCGGACGAAGACGGAACATACTGGGAAGCGGAGCGTAAGATCGTTATGGATCACAGGTATCTTCAACGAGCACAACAACTCCCCGCGCTCGACGTCGACGATGCGCACTTCCTGGTCTGCATCTGTAGCGATGAAGTGCGACCCATGCAGACCCAGCGCGGTGCGGAAGCTGTTGAACTCGCTCGTGCGTCTAAACCACGGATCCACCCCGGGCGTGTCAAAGTCGATCGTGTACGTCGTCGTCACCAACCTGTATACTCGTCAGTTACATACATAGCAGCAACGACGAAGCGAACTGACTGGTTGCCGTTTCTGCGAGTCACCGCCAAGACGTGTTCGTTCCCCAGAGCCGTATTGACCGCATATCCCAGCAATCCAGCCACAAGCAGCTCAGCGATAGGCTTCCGAATCGTCCCACCGACGCTCTCCGCGGCTCGAAGGTCCCAACACTCGAACGAGAACCGCCTGTTCTCCCTATCCGACGACGAGTCGAACAGCGTCAACGTGAGCAAGTACCTTCCGCCCCACCCAGGCAAAAACTCCGCCGCCAAGTTGCGCGAGCCGGCCTGCGCCCACGGCCGACTCGTCGGCTGGATATCAAGCCTCGCATGGCACTTCGGCTCCAACGAGGTCCAGTTCGACCAGAAGCGGTACGCGCGCACCGTCAGACGTTCGAGCTGCTCGGACGAGAGACTGGAAAGCTCGACGGTACGGTCGTTGTCGAGCCCGGGCACTGGGATGCCGCGCTGCAGATAGCATGCAGATAAGGCCTCGTGCCAGACGCTCCGGTCGCGAGTGACGGACTCGAGGTCCTTGCAGGTCTGAGCGGCGCGCAAGTCAATATTGCAAGTTCAACGTTCAACTTCGGAGCAAGCATCTTGAATTGGAAGGCGCGCTCACCCTGCGCAGCGCGAGGACATCGTTCACGTCGAGACGTTGGAGGATGCCGAGGAGCACGTCTGTAGGCAAATTGCGGAGGTTGATCGACATCTTGTAGACATCATCAGTTACTCTGTGAGGGAGGCAACTCCACAATACAACTAACCTCTGATTGCCAAGTTGGCCCAATGCTGGCATGCAAGTCTGAATGAACCTGCTTGCGCGACTGTCGTTCTTGAAGCTCATGTTAACCGCTGAGTAGTTACAGCCCCTAAGTGGCAAATGGCGGGCTAGTCGAGCATGGCAATATGGCCGAGCGGTCTAAGGCGCCAGAATCAGGCTTTCTGCTTAATCTGGTCCGAAAGGGCGTGGGTTCGAATCCCACTGTTGTCATCCTCTTCCCACTTCTACGTCTTTTTGCATCGTTCCTGTCTCCGTGCGGACCAGGATCATGCATCATGCATCATGAATGACAGTGTACTCCGCATGACACTTCGAAGTTCGCGCCGACACACAAACAGAAGAGGTTGCAATGCAAGGATAATTTATGGTATGTGTATTGCACAAGTGGGATATCGTAAAGTAGGATTACAGCCCCATGCGACCTCGCCCCGTCCGTCGCGCACACACGAATACACCAGCGAGAGCGCAGCGATCCCAACAGCGTATAGCTCCCGAGAACCTGCGCTCTCCCAGTAATACAGCAAGTGCAGGTCCCCGACGTGTCGTCGTCAGCGTCGTAAGTAGTAGTGGCACAACAACAGCAGTATCGTTCGCCGCGGCCCACGGCGTTTTAGAACAAGACCGAGGCGACCTTTCCGAGGAAGGTCGTCGGCGGGACCTCGGGCACCTCCGTCTCCTCGAGCGTCGGGATGCCGGTGACGAAGTCCATCTCGTGCGGCTTCCAGATCTGCGTGCGCTTGAACACCTTCCAGAACACGTACAGCGCGATGAAGATCGGGATGTTGATGTCTGCAAGGGTGCGTGCGCGGTCAGCAGTTGCGCAGGTGGGAGAAAGAAAAGGGGGGGAAGACGTACAGGCTGTGAGGAAGTCGGACGCGTTGAAGTCCCAGAAGACGGTGAAGCCGTTGATGAGGATGAAGATGACGACCCAGAAGACGCCCCAGATCGAGAGGTACGGCTGGAGGTTGCTGTGGTACACGAGCTTCTTGCGGTCCAGGCCCTGCGCCTTCATTCCACGGTCTGCATCATAACAGCATGCATGTCAGCCATCCCCGCCCTACTGCAGATTGCAGAATAGGACACGCACAGAAGAAGAGGTAGGTGAGGTTCATCGAGAACCAACCGAAGAAGCCGCCGACGGTCGACAGGTTGACGAACCAGTTGAACACGGTCGCCGCACCGGCCGACACGTTCATGAACGACAGGAGCGCGAAGCAGCTGACGCCGAGCACCGCGGCGAGCGGGAGACCGCTCTTCGTGCAGTACGTGAAGATCTTGGGCGCCTGACCGCGGAGCGCGAGACCGTAGAGCACACGGGACCCGCAGTACAGGAAGGAGTTTCCGGCAGAGAACGCGGACGAGAAGACACCGGCGTTGATGATGTGCGGGAGGACCTTGACACCCGCGCGGGTCATGGCAATGACGTACGGCGACTGGGCGGCGTTGCCAGTGTCCTCGAGCAGGTTCTCGTCGTTGTAGGGGACGAGCATACCGGTGACGAGGATGCCGAGAATCTAGTGATGAATGTCAGAAAAGTGGACGAGGGAGGCGGATCGATTAAACCACTCACGTAGAAGAGCAAGATACGCCAGAAGACACGGCGAACGGCCTTGGCGATGTTGCGGCGGGGGCTGATGGTCTCCGAGGCAGCACTGCGGGGCGGGCCCGTCGTGAGCGAGTGATCTCGCCGGACTCTAAAACGGCAACTCACATAGCGACAAGTTCCATACCCTGGAACGAGAACGCAGCCTGGACGATGGTCGAGAGGAAACCGACGAAGCGGTCGGTGACCGCGTTGGCGACGAGACCGGGGCCGTTAAACGGGCCAGGGTCCCTCCAGTACTGCAAGCCAAGCACGTCAAATTCTGCACGCTGCGCGCCGGGGCTGAATACTCACGCGGAAGCCAATACGGTCGCCCTGGGGGCCTCCTCCGAGGTCGATGACGAGACCGGTGATGATGAGGATGACAACCAAACAAACTGCGGGACAGAGCACGATGCGGTCAGACGGGCGCTACCCCACACGCGAAGCAGAGAGAGACATCGATGGGGCCCTGGCGCCGGACCAGGGCATCGGAGCCGGTGGGGAAAAATCACGATACTCACTCTTGATGATGGAGAAGACGAACTCGGACTCTCCAAACCAGCGCACGCCAAAGATGTTGATGGCACATGTGCAGATGCAAATGGCGGCAGTGTACGCGGCTTGATGGCCAGGCTGGACGGGAGATCAGCTGAATCCTTCGTACGTGGGGTGGGAGCGCCAAGCACGTACGTTGGGATCCCAGAAGGTGAGGAGGATACCGGCAGCAGAGATTTCGACGGGGACCGAGACCGAGTTGGTGTAGAAGTAGTTCCATCTATGGAAAGTTGGGGGCGTAGGGGGATGGCGTTTTGTCAGAGAAGCGGGCAAGGACGGGAGGGAGGCTGGGAAGAGCTAGCGCTTACCCGGTCGCGAAACCAAAGGCGGGGTCGACCCAACGGGCGGCAAAGTGGGGGAAGGTGCCGGAGATGGGTGCATGGGAGGTCATCTCACCGACGGCACAGAGGGACGCGTAGGCGCAGCTGCCGACGAAGATGTACGCGAGAAGAGCACCGGCGGGGCCAGCACTGCGGAGGGCACTACCGGAACCCAAGAAAAGACCGGTACCGAGAGTACCAGCGATCTATGGAGGCGCGCCTCGGTGAGGACGAGGAAGGGGGAGCGAGGATGAGGACGAGGGATGCTCACAGCAATCATCTGGACATGGCGCTGCTTGAGCTTGCGCTGTACGCGGTCGAGGTCGGCAGCGTCGAAGTGGTACTTGTCGCCATTGTGCTGGACGACATAGTCGTGGACGGCGCCCTTTTCGAGGGAGCTCGTCTGGTCGGGCTTCTCCTTGTACTCGTGCCCTTCGGACATGGCTGGCGGAGGCGGAAGGAAGGAGAAAGGCGGGGGAAGAGAGAGGGAGGGAGAGGGGACGCGGCCAACCTCGATGCGTGGAGAGAAGAAGAAGCTCGAGGGCGGGCAAACGAGCTCGGGGCGTATATATTTCCGGAGCAGCTCTGGCAGCCGCTGCCAGCCACTGGGATTGGCGCAAGGATATCATGGACGCGGGCAAGATGTCCATATGCAGACATGGCAGAGATAAGCCCACGCTGCAGCTCGTGCCAGCGACCGATAACGTCTGATTGAATGATGGTTCGCCCCCACCCGACCGCAATTCTCCCCTGCGCCGACCCTTGTCGCGATACGCGTGCGCCGCTCATCAGCACTCAGTTCGCGATGGCGCTGCACCCGCGACCGCGACACGACAAAGGCGACGACGCGGTCTGCCCCCGTGCGCGCTCGCGCCGTCGCGCGCCCCCGGACGGAACTGGGGAACATGCGCGCGCGTTCTGGGTCTGGAGTGGGGCGCAGGCTATGAGCGTGGGAGGAGCGCATGGACGTTGGAGAGACACTCGCCCTAGGCACATTTCTTCACCCGATCGCAGCCAACAATGGCAACCCCGGCTGTCACCGATCTCACATCAGATCCACCCGCGATCTCCCCTTGGCGTCTCAAACAACGCTATCGCATCCGTCTCGCTGCAACGTTCATACTGAGCTACCGCCGGGCACACGACCTCCCCTTGCAGCACCGATGCGCAAGCAGCAGAGCAAATGGCTATGTACGCAGGACCTCTACGCTGTCCAGACATTCTCGCGAAGTCAGCGGAGGATTACACAGCAGTCTCAGCGTTAGGTAGCCGGAGTCGGCGTACACGGCACGTCAAACCCCGGCGCCTCATTCTTACAGTACGCCACAACACGGACAGGGTTATCCACGCAAACAACGCGCAAAAAGCTCTCACCAAGAACCCCTGTCTCTGCGAAAATAAACTTCATAAAATTTGCCGTGCAAGGAGCAAAAGGCTCGCCATTCCGTAGGTGGCGCTTATCTCACCTCAACCCACGCTACCTCGATCGTACTCGTCCGCCACGTCCGTCTTCGAGCCCAGCCATGACGCACGGCGCGAACAGTGGCGGGCTCTCCGTCCGTGGCACGCAAATTTGCGGTCCCTACCGTAGGACCTGCAATCATGATTTCCAGCTAGAGTTCGCAGAGAGATAAGTGGCTTGCCCGCCGTGATAAGACCCACGGATCTTCGACGCGCCCGCCGCCCCTGGGCTCTCTCTCGCTCGGCGCGACCGTCGACGCGACGTTTGTGTGGAGATCAGGAACGAACATTTTGCGCATCCGCAGATTTCGCCGCAGTCGGACATCCGACAGTCCTGGGACCTGTCTTTTGGTGGTTCCGGTTCCCAGGTTCCCAGAGGCACACCGCCCTATGGGAAGGGCCTGTGATTCGTTATCAATCCTGGAGGTGCTAGGCCAACTGGGGTAGTATATGTATGAGACCGAGCTCGGTTGGCCAGCCTCAACCTGGATTGTCAATTGAGGGCTGTCGGAAACTCGCCGGACGATGGGAGCAGTTCTGGTACCATGGGTATATGAAGACGCGAGGCTGGTGGACGAGCTCGACTTGGCCCCGATGTTGTTGTGCGACGCGATGCTCGGTCTGTCCGATATCGACGCTCGTCGATCGGACGAGCATGGTCATCGAGGATCGCGATTGCAAACCCCTGAGTAGCAAAAAAAATTGGGCTGGACACATGTGACGACAGCGTCAGTATATACATTTCAACGATGCATCCACCTAGGACTCCAGCGGTGCTCGACCAGGTCTGCCGGAATGCGTGCAGCCTGGCATGGACGCCCACAATGACGGTCGTGCACAGGAATACCTACCAACTATAACTCTGACGTTCGCCTTCCATATGCATATGCCATATGTGTTCTTCAGCACACATTGGCAGATTGGGATCCACCGCGGCAGCACAGCCGTCGATCTGGCCAGTCTGGCTCTCAATCAGCATGATCTCAGGAAGCTTCCAAAATGCCACTGTACATCTGAAGGATGAGTAGAAATTCGAGAAGACGCACCTCTGACGTATTCGCATGCGCAGTGCACAGGACGTCATGGTGCCCACACCGCCCACGAAGTTGACAGAAGAAGCATCGTCCACACTGACCACTGATCTCCTCCAGATCTGATGTCATTCGCGGGAGCGCGGTCGGTGGTATTGGGTGCGGGGGATGGGAGAAGTCGGTGTGCGCGTATGTACACTGTCGTGCTTCGCGGCTGTACTGTACGCGCACTAGAAAAATCCTCACGGGAGGATAATC